ATTGCGTGACAAATTCAACTGTGTTATTGTTGAATTGTGTTTGATTGCTTCCGCCAGTGCAGTACAGTCACCAGTACCAAGTTGATTCCCCCACAAATCCAACTGTGTTATTGTTGAATTGTGTTTGATTGCTTCCGCCAGTGCAGTACAGTCACCAGTACCAAGTTGATTCCCCCACAAATCCAACTGTGTTATTGTTGCATTGTGTTTGATTGCTTCCGCCAGTACAGTACAGTCACCAGTACCAAGTCTATTGCGTGACAAATCCAACTGTGTTATTGTTGAATTGTGTTTGATTGCTTCCGCCAGTGCAGTACAGTCACCAGTACCAAGTTCATTGCTCCACAACTTCAACTGTGTTATTGTTGAATTGTGTTTGATTGCTTCCGCCAGTGCAGTACAGTCACCAGTACCAAGTTCATTCCTTCCCAAATTCAACTGTGTTATTGTTGAATTGTGTTTGATTGCTTCCGCCACTGCAGTACAGTCACCAGTACCAAGTTCATTGGCTGCCAAATTCAACTGTGTTATTGTTGAATTGTGTTTGATTGCTTCCGCCAGTGCAGTACATTCACCAGTACCAAGTTTATTTCCTTCCAAATTCAACTGTGTTATTGTTGAATTGTGTTTGATTGCTTCGGCCAGTGCAGTACAGTCACCAGTACCAAGTTTATTGTATCTCAAATCCAACTGTGTTATTGTTGAATTGTGTTTGATTGCTTCCGCCAGTGCAGTACAGTCACCAGTACCAAGTTCATTCCCTCTCAAATCCAACTGTGTTATTGTTGAATTGTGTTTGATTGCTTCCGCCAGTGCAGTACAGTCACCAGTACCAAGATCGTTCTTTGACAAATCCAACTGTGTTATTGTTGAATTGTGTTTGATTGCTTCCGCCAGTGCAGTACAGTCACCAGTACCAAGTCTATTCAAAGACAAATGCAACTGTGTTATTGTTGAATTGTGTTTGATTGCTTCCGCCACTGCAGTACAGTCACCAGTACCAAGTCTATTCAAAGACAAATGCAACTGTGTTATGGTTGAATTGTGTTTGATTGCTTCCGCCACTGCAGTACAGTCACCAGTACCAAGTTCATTGGCTGCCAAATTCAACTGTGTTATTGTTGAATTGTGTTTGATTGCTTCCGCCAGTGCAGTACATTCACCAGTACCAAGTTTATTTCCTTCCAAATTCAACTGTGTTATTGTTGAATTGTGTTTGATTGCTTCCGCCAGTGCAGTACAGTCACCAGTACCAAGTTTATTGTATCTCAAATCCAACTGTGTTATTGTTGAATTCTGTTTGATTGCTTCCGCCAGTGCAGTACAGTAACCAGTACCAAGGTCATTAGCTGGCAAATTCAACTGTGTTATTGTTGAATTGTGTTTGATTGCTTCCGCCAGTGCAGTACAGTCACCAGTACCAAGTTCATTGTCTGACAAATCCAACTGTGTTATTGTTGAATTGTGTTTGATTGCTTCCGCCAGTGCAGTACAGTCACCAGTACCAAGTCCATTCCCTGCTAAATCCAACTGTGTTATTGTTGAATTGTGTTTGATTGCTTCCGCCAGTGCAGTACAGTCACCAGTACCAAGTCCATTCCCTCTCAAATCCAACTGTGTTATTGTTGAATTGTGTTTGATTGCTTCCGCCAGTGCAGTACAGTCACCAGTACCAAGTTCATTGTCTGTCAAATTCAACTGTGTTATTGTTGAATTGTGTTTGATTGCTTCCGCCAGTGCAGTACAGTCACCAGTAACAAGTCCATTCCATGCCAAATCCAAGTGTGTTATTTGAAGAAGCGAGCCAAGAGTACGAGCTAAGAGCAGATGAAGGGTACAACTCTTTTCGTTTTTACATTCGTTAATGCATTCCAATGCAACTGAGAACATACGGTTATCCTTTACCTTCTTAGCAATACAGGAGACGAAAGCCTTTATCGCTTCTTCCGATTGCGAAGCTAGCATGCCGCATGTGAACAAAAGCACCTGTTTAAGCTCTTTAAAATATCTGTCGTCGGCAATTAAGGTTTCTGGACAAATTTCGTTATCTAGAACCAGGCAACAGAGGTAAAATGCCGCAAACAATTCCTGAAATGTTTTGTGTAAAAAGGAATAGTTCAGAGATGGTCTCACTTTTTTAGGGCTACACTCAACGGACAAGAAGCCGAATTCAGGTAATTCTTCTGAGCAATTTTTAAACTCGCCTTCTTCGAGCGACATGTTATTATGAAGCAGACCGTTCCACGCGATGGAGCCAAGCTGTCTTAGTTGAGTCTTGTATACTTTAGTGAGGTCTTCGTCGTTGGTATTTGGTAATGGTAATCCTTTCTTTTTCCTATATCTTCTAAGAACACACTCTACCATTTCTAGGTAAAGCTGTGTACCACTTTCTGCAAAAATACCATCAGAGTCCTCACAGAGAAGACAAAGAAGTACAGTGTTTAAAGGACTTTCTGTCAACTGTTGGAGGTTTTTGTCAGACTCCAGTTTGTTTAAAAGCCTCTGGGCCAACTGCGGTTCCTCGTCGAAATACCTGAAAATAAACTCTCGGGCGTCTTCTTTAGTGAAACCTTCAATTTCTAGCAAGGTATCGCAGCACTCTCGCACCTCCATCCCAACCTCTTGTCGTGCTGTAGCTACAATGTAACACTTTGGTAGCACTCTTCCTTGAATGACTTCCTTAAACGCTGCAAACATATTGGCAGGCAACTCATCCAATCCGTCAAGTACCAGTAAAATATCGGGCTGATTACAGCGAATGAATTTGAAGAATTCTTCCTTATCTTCTTCTGTGCAATCTCGAGGCAGAAGCTGGTCATCAATGGCGTCCCAAAGGGCACACTTCAAGATTTCGTTCAGTTTATCTTTTTCAGATCGAGGGAGAGGTTGTCCTTCGGTGGCCTCCGAAAGGCAGGACTCTATTTCTCGGCATTTAAGCAGTAAAACAGCTTGGAAGTTTGGAAAAAAACTTCCTGAAGGATTTTCTGCCACTTTTTTGTTCGCTGCCCAATCGTAAGAAAGTTTATTACAGAATGTGGTCTTTCCTATACCTGGCCTCCCTTCAATTAAGACCGTCCTAGGACGAGCGCATTCTTCGTGGGGTTTGAAGATATCTTTCATAGTAACAGTTTGATCGGTCTTTGTACCCCTTGCTTTCTTCCTGCTCACTATTTTGAGTCTAGTAAAATTGTTATCAAGGCTTAATCGAAACTTTTCCCACCATGGAAAGGGTGCAAACCATCTTTCACGGGTGCTGTAGAGTTGGCGAATGCCATCAACAGATCCAGTTGGGTAAAAACCACCTGAAAATAAAAGATATATCGTGTTTAAGTCGAACCCCCACTTTAAAGACACCACCTTAATACGGACATCTCGTTGTTTTATGGACAGTTTCCTTTAATACTGGCAAGAGCCCTTATATTGTCTCAAAATTCAATCCGCTTCAAACAGGCACCTGTAAGTAAGCCACCTCTGTGGACTGCATGGCATATAACTACTAATTCGAGGGTCCTACAGATGCTTCGAGTTCTTCCGAGTTTCCACTGACTTTTCCCCCTTGAGAAAAACAAGTTGCACTCTTTTAAAGCAAAACATTGAAATTATTCCCTTTACATTAAGTCTTAATTGCTTTGTGACGACTCAATCTAAAGGCAGCGAAACGACCATCACGGTTATAATTCTTTTCATGTATTCGCTGATAAAGCAATTTTCAATCTCCAGCGAAAATCACTCTATTACAAGCACAGTCTGTTAATAGAGATCAGCTTAATCAAAACGATGGCGACGGCAACGAGTGTCACTAAAACTTAGGGTAATTCCCTTGTTTTGCACTGCGCATCACCTACCGCGCATAACATGACGACGTCAAAGCTGGTGGTGATTTTCACCAGTCACCTGAAAAGACGTAACGACCGTCTTTTTAGTTTTAGTCGTTTTAATTGTGATTCTAACAACCCTCCCCGGCTAAAATGGTGTTGGGCTTAAACCTCGCCCCAGTCCCCGCGCTTAAAATGCCCATTTGAAGCCGGAATTGCCCCTTTTGTTGTCTCTGCAAGGAAAGAGGAACGGTGATCCCCCTTTTTTTTACTGGTTTTACTGGTTATGGCTAGAACAAAAATATATTTAAAGGAGAAAAAAAAAATCTGGTTAGTAGAAGTTTTATTTTTTTTATAAGAATGACGTAAAATGCCGCATTTGGAGACACAGTATAAACGGTCCACGTTTTAAACTACTTCCAAGATCGAACAATTTAAAGTCACTATACTGGAAAATTACAGCCCAGATCAACAAACGGACTTTCGGTTTTAGTATATTTCATAGGTTTTTTTTGTACGAGAATGATTTTTGACGGTTGTTCCAGCTTCGAACATTCCGTGCGCAACTTGGCAAAAACACTTAGAATAACGGGCTTGCGGGGCGAAATCAAGCAAGGTGACCCCATCCATTTATTGCAGATTTTCAATGTACTGACAGTCAATTGGACCAAGTTTTAAAAAAACTGGATAGTACACCCTTGTTAGTTAGACGGGGTCTAGGGTTTATCGTTCATATCCGAGAAGACTAGAAAGTCTAACCGTTTGCAGATGTCTTTACAAAGGCAGCACTTTCTCCTCAGATATTTATAACACCCTGAGTGTTGGTCCGGCCGGGGCTTGAACCAGCGGCCTCCAGCTCGGCAGACCTGCGCTTAACCAATTGAGCTAACCAGGCGGGGTTAATGAAGTGCGGTGTTATGAAGCCCGGCCAACTTCATTGTCATGTTTTTGTTCGCTTTTTTGGACTTGACCGTGCACCTTTCATTGTGAACTAACGGACCAATAGCAACGTCCTATAAATTTATTCAGTCATAATTTGTGAACCAAGACAAAACATTGTTCACGCTCAGCGAGCCCTCAACAGAACCTGCACCCCATTGTTTCCATCTTTGATTTTTGCAGGCTTTCAGAACCTGTCTCCTCTACTAAACTAACGGGACCACTTGCACTATTTTCCTTCCCATGACCTGGACATTCAAGAACAAAAATAGCCAGAATTTCAGCCGTCTGCTCGAGTCGCAAACTTTTTTGTTTACGACATTATTAAAACAAGTTTCTTCTTCTTTCGGAACATGTAAATTACATAACTTGAAAGATGAGTGCCCTTAAATGCAGAAACTAAATTCTGTCACTGAATTGGAAGCATAGATTTCTTCGAGAATCTCTTGATTGATTTTAATTTTCCAACAATTTAAGGTCGAGATTTTGAACATTGAATCTGCTGTTATTGACGGCTCTGTGTAAGCATAGTATTTTTGAATAAAGAAAGAACAATGAAGAAGCAACTAGTTTTAATAATGTAGTAACCAAAAAATACACCAATAAATCTGGATGAAAACGTAATTGTGAAGTGTTTTCATAAAGGCCCACTGGTTTTCTGTAATGCTTTAGTTGTGTAGATGCTGTATTTTCAGCCAATTTTTCGCACGTTTCTTCGATAGTTTGCCGATAAAACGCACATGGTTTAAAGAGCAAAAACGGTTGCAAAACTAAAAGGAAACTTATTATAATTTTCGATAAATGTTTGTAATTAGCAATTATTGAATGAATAATAAGTGACTTTATTATAGTTGCTACATTTTGCATGATGTGCCGTGTGCTTTTGTTCATATTTATTGTTTCAAGGAAATGTATTAGTCGGTTGCTCTATTCAAACCTGCTGGCTACTTCAATTTTTATTGCAACCCCTGCAGCCGGATGGGCCACTTGGTTGAAAGCAGGCTTTAATCTACCCAACACTTAACTGAGGGATTGATATGGCTGTATCGCAGACTCTTGAATAAAAGACTTATCCAACGCAAAAACTTGAAAAACTTGTATTTCACAATTCAGTTAACTTTAGAGCACATTCATGTGACTTTTGAGGGAAAGGCTAAGTGATCTTAGAGAAAAATAATTTGCAAACAGCCCAAGATTAAACCAAATCTTACATCGAGTTGATAGCCTCATATGTACACCTAAAAACTGGCAATCATCTTCGATCACATTTAAAAGCCATAATAGCTCTTGATCACCGTAGACTAATTAGGTCTGGAAAAAAAAACAGGCCGACCTTTTTGCGTTCGACAAGTCAGTTTAGTTCACAAAATCTGGGTGCGTGTAAACGAACCCTTTATACCATTTATACATCACATCTGAGGTGAAACAGTACTGTGAGGCACTGTTTTGATCATACAGACCTCGGACAGAATGCAGTATTTCACAGTTTTGCAATACAAATTGCACCCATTCAATATTCAGGACGATTGAAGCATGCGTGGGCTTTTAGCTAAACCGTTAAAAAAATTTCCAAAATCACCTATACGGCCAGCCGGTTCTCATTTTTGCAGTGCGAGATGTGGTCGAGTGTTTGAATAACGAGAGTTTTTTGAGTTACGTTCCAACATAACAAAGCTTTTATTATGTTTATTCTTTATTTAATGGTTTTATCGATGGGTAATCTTCAAAAGCGTTTGATTCGCGCGGCATTTTGAGTCCTCCTGCAAGCAATGTTCACTGAAGGACTGAAAACAAACCGCACAGCGATTAAAACTACAAGAGAGACTACTAACAATCAACAAAAGAAACATTATTCGGTGAAACATATACAGAGACAACAATTTTCATTCACGAAGACAAGTATTAAAGTGTCTCTAAAAATCCTGAGTCTTCAAGCTTAAAGCTTAAGTTTGTGTTTTAAGTCGGCTTCCCGGTGTTTGCTTTTTTCAAAGATGAACTCGAGGCATGAAAATCGCTCAAAGCTTTCTTTTACAGCCAGAATTATAACTAAATATTCTTTGGAACGTTTTCTTTCTATTTGCGGTGAGAAATTGTCGAAAGGCTTTTTAAAGTTCGGTAAGCTTATATCAAACTTGATACTCGGCCAGATCATTGTCTCAAATCTTACAAACGAGCATAAACTAAATAGCCGCATAAACTACGCCCGACTTCATTAAAAACAAACATCAAATACAATAATTACTCAGGCTTACTATTCGAGATGCAGTTCCTGAAAGGTATCAAGTAAAGCCAGTATCGCTTCAGACTTTTCAACCCTCTTACGCATCAAGCACGGTGAAAAATGAAAACAATGCCATCCGAAATCGTATTTCCGACTTTTACTCAACCAAAAACCCAATAAACAAACAAGCCATGAATAACAGAATACTCCTGATAGTAGCTGAATTTCATTTTGTACATCCTGAGCCCGCGATACGGTCAAGTGATACTGGTCAGCAGATACCCTGTTTTGACAGCTGTCACATCACAACATTGACATCCAATATGTGTGCATTATCAGTTTTTCTGCGCTCCCAAAATGGCTGGAAAGTATGAGATTGAACATTGATCGCGATCTAGTAAAACCATTAACTGGTCAGAGGACAGATTCCAAATAAATCACGTCACCTCGATGAGTTGACATATGAGCCCGCGATATGGTCATGTGATACTGGTCAGTGGCTATCCTGTTTTGACAGCTGTCAATTGACTATCCCCTGGACCATATTGTAAATGTCCAATGTAAAAGATGTGGATATTTACAAAGACACCCCTGAGAAACCCCTCCCTTCCTTTTGATTGTCTCCCCTACCGTACCCGTACAATCGGTAGACGAGTACGTACGTACGTACGCTCGGTTAATCACGTGACAACCAAACGAAAAGAGGTTGACCATATTGGTGGGAGCCCCGCTAAAACTATTTTTGTCAGCTTTCTTTGACTTGACTGTGCACAACGTTTATTAGTATTCCTACCATGTTGATTGAATCAACAAGAAGAAACGAACCAAAATCAAACGATTGTGCATGGTAAGGGAGCTCTCAACATAAACTGCAACACCGTTGATTTTAGGCAGCTTTCATAACCATTCGCCTCTATCAACTATATTTTAGCAAAAAAGTTTCGAACGATCTTAACAGAGTTTCATTATACCCTTAGTAGAGTTCTATACCTTGGTCATTGTGAGTCTGCTTCACGTTTAAATCTGAAGGCCCTGCAGCAACACCAGGTCTAACGGTACCACTTCCAACACTGGCCTCTCCATGAGCTAGACGTTCAAGAATACAAAAAAGAAAGAATGTTAACGCAAATTAGAAGGCCACCTACAATTGAAACCAGCTTAACGTCGTATTATCTAGCCTCTTGAAATTCCAAATTGCTAAGATAGAATAACTGAATCCACGTAGCTCTCCAAACATTTCCTCTAGTTCTCAATTTAATACAAGTAGTTCTCATTACAGTAAAAACCCGCGTGTAATTATAAGAACTTAGTGGTTTAACAAATTGCTGGTAGAAATTTACCATCTTAATAACAAAAAATAATAACAGCCTGTTTAGCCAAGCAAGATCAAGCAGGTTCTTATATGTGCGTTACAGTTAAATTATTATGATAAACACTTTTAAAAAGCCAAAGGAGTTTGACTTTGAAAATAAAAATTTAGAAAACAAGAATATATAGACAGATGCATTGTAACCGCATTGCATATAATTGCATATGTACATTCTGTAATCAGTTTTATTAGGCTTATCGTGATACAGTTGTGAATAAATACTGCATAATTTAAGGGCGAACTCAAGTTTATTTATTTTTTTGGTCATCAACAACTATATCTCCTTTATAGAAAATAAGAATCTAATTAAGAACCTACTTAGCCTAAACTGCCAATAACTTACCCCCAAAATACAAGAACCTATTTCTCCAGACTTGACAGAGATATAAATTATAAAAACCCAAAAATATATAGTTGAAAATAACAACTCTGGGAATTTTTCAGTGATAAAAATTGCTTTAAATGCGCAATTTATAAAACAAAAGGGGTGGGGAGGTCAAGAAAATCCAGAATATGAAAGGATAAAAATTGAGATGGAGGATTAATAAGAGATCTCAAAATCAATGTCAACCATCCACGTCTATTTAAGGTTAACTGAGACTGTGGTTATCTGATACAGTCAGATCACAACAATCTGACACCCCCCCACCCTGCCCTCTCGTTAAATGCATGTACTATCATATGCATGGAGATTATCAGCATTGGTCAGAAGACAAATATCCACATACTTCTGACAAGGACATTGAGAAACATGAAAAGTGATGCTGTAAAAAGAGCATAATAGAAACTCTACTTATAGCCACCTTTCCACAATGACCACCTTTTTGTTTCCTAAGGCGGATACAAGACATTCTTGTTTGTACCTCATATGAGGCAGTCGTCACTTAGCTCGATCCCCAAAGTGGCCAGAGTAGAGAGGTTTCCTATAAATTCTCAAGATGCAACTATTTTGTGATCTTATTATTTGGGCGTGGCCCAAATAGAGTAATGGAAACGGCTTGTTTTGACGCAAATGTGCAATAGGCACGCAATACGTGCTAACGTAAACAAGGCAAGTAAACAAGCGAAGCGAGGCGAATGTCTGCCATGCGAACGTCTTGTACAAGGTAAGAGGCATGTTTGGAATATTAACGTCGGGTTTTGGTCACAATAAGATCACGAGCAACGAACCTTGAAACACAGAAACTCACAAAACGGATCGAAATCCAACAATCACAAATCACAAACAATGACCTTTTGAACCCGTTGAAGAAAACTTTCGTTTCCTAAGAGGTCCGCTAAGATGATGGGCGTCTGACATTTTTTTGACAAGAGGATCAAAATGCACCAATCATAGAAAGACAGTTTTAATTGCGTGTTTCCTAAGAGGTCATTTGAATTTTTTATGTCCATTTTCTTTCCCTTATTTTGTGATTGATCGATTTTGTTAGGTCGAGTGGATAATCCAATGAGGGACGATTTGGATATCGTTTGATCCGAAATTTTTCGAAGCGGTAGTAAGAAGCAGTTTGGATAACATTTGGCCGCGGCGTTTCGAGAAACGTGTTAATATATTGTTCAATCATGTTATCCCGGGTTAAACTTACAAATGCCCACACTGTTCGGGGTAGGCCCACACTAAACAATAAGACTAAGTGTTTTCGGAATGGGCTGGTC